TTACAATCAGATCATAATTAGGTGACAGTACTGAATGGTTTTTGGATTTTTAATAAAAATTAACAATGCACTTTTTGTGGAATGACAAATTAGAAATTACGCGACTGTTCTGGTGGTGTTGCCAGTGTTAAATGTCATTAATACTAATACATGGCAATACAGTCAGCGTGCCACTTAGATTAACCAAGGCATCCTGTAGAAATTAACTTCTAATCGATCATTCAATTCACAATCAATCACTCACTCTCTCTTTCTGGACGTATAACTGGAAACACTGATGTCTTTTTCTGGATGCAGGAGGAGAGAGAGAGTGCAGGTGATTAGTACAGACAGCCAGATAGGATATTATCCAGCTGTACTCTTTATAATTCATTATAAATAAATGACTCCACTCTGTTCCATTATATTCTTTATAATAATTTAAACTGTAGAAAGAATGGCATGACGCTAATATTACTACATTGCTGTCATATTATATTTAATCTACCAAATAATAGGCTTATTTTTGGACAAAATCTGTGTTCTTGTCTCTGATTCTTGGTCATTGATCTATTAGATAATTTACTTTACAGGTTTTTTTTTTAGTGAACCAGATGCTGAGATATCGGAGCTTCATCCATTCACAATCCCTCAGCCGAGAGGGCTCCTTGTTTGTTTTTATTACCTAAGTAACATGAGTAAGTGAAACACATGTTTTTATTATTTTATATTATATATCCTTATTAATCTTCTGCTATGTTGCACCAAATGTAAAAAATCAATTACATTTTTCTAGCTGATATATTTTGAACCATTCTAATAAGAATTGAGATCTAATTATTCAATAGTGTTCAGTTCAATGAAGAGCTCCCTCCAGTGGTCAGAGTGCAGAACTGCAACACTACACAACTATTGTTACATGAATTAATATTAAGGCAGTTCACTAAGTTGTTGAATTGCTATTTCTTTATGTGAAGTTATTGAACAGTTTGAGCTAACTACATTTAGCTTTCTGTTGATTACTTTGAGACATATTAATATGCAACACAAGCAGAATTTCCTTACAGTTACATACCAACTTTAAAGGATGAAGAGTTCCTTTATGCATGCAACAGTATATAAAGTAGTTAAAATGAGCTCAACCTTAAACATGTACAGCGGAAAAATGCAACAGACACATTGATGCAGCAGTAATATGAATCCAAAAACACCAGATTTAAAAATAAAACACTGACATTTTCCTGCACAATGACTACTTTTACTTTCATACCTGATCAATACTTGACTCAAACTAGAGGTGCCTCGTTGTAGCGTGAGTTGTTTAGGTCAATAAGATCAAAAACCTTGATCAGGACTTCTGCAGTTCAAACATGATTGTTAGTCAGAGCTCACCTGTGTTCAGGACCAAGGGGGATTCATGTTTACACAGAAGAGTTTCAGACTTTGACTGGTCACACACAGCTAGATTCAGGTTCAGGTTTAGGTTCAGGTTCAGGGGAGTCTGGTCTTCGATAGATCCTAGTAGCCCAGGGAGAGATATTCAGTTTTTAGTCTTTAGACACAGAAGCTGCTGCAGAAACCAGCAGCGATTAACAAGGGAAGCAGTTCAGTCACTACTTCCTGAAAGACTTTCACAATAAAATACATCAAGACTTGTTGATCCCAAGAGAAAATGTGGAATTAAATTCCTGTAAACATGTTCTTTTACTTGAGTAAATCTCATCCAGTGCAACAAAACTCTCTGCTGTAACAGATTTACTCCTTCTCCTTTTTTTTTCGGTAAAAACTTGCTCACATAATAAAGAAACATCACGTTGACCTACGTCATCTTTAAACCAGTTGACTTATGGTGGTTATGATCTGTGTGTCTTCATGTCTTCATCAACATTCCTGTCAGAGGAAAACACACAACAACTAATTGTTAATAATTATTTGTAATAAGATAAACTGCACAATGTCAATTTGAATGACTGAATAAAAAATAAATGATTATAATTAAATATGAGTAATAGTGACTAATAGTAGTACTTTATACTTCAGTGGATATTTGATCAGCTGATTATTTTTATTATCCAGTGACAATAAATTAAGGATAAATTGGTTTACTGAATGCTTATAAAATTAGTGCCATTTTCCCCACACTATATGGTTGATGGTTGAATAACTTTGTGTAGCCTTGCTGTGTTCAAATCTTTGCATTTATCTGTACAGGGTGAATATATTTAAATCATATTTCCATGTTTGTGTCTTTTAATGGACTTGAAGCATATTTATAAGTCATGTTTATGTCCTATTGAAGATATTTATTATTTTATTTAACAGTCATTTAGTGACAGTTAATTATTGGTGCTCTTAACAAACATACAAGTATTTGATTAGGAAGTGTCTGTGTGATTGAATATGTCTACTGAAGCACTTTGAACCATAGGGGGCACCACAAATACCCAAAACATGTATCTGAGCTGCCATATTAACAGGTGCACGTGAACAAGGCCTATATCGCTTATTAGCTCATAACTCAGTCCTGATTAAACCAAGTGTTGGTTTTGTTGGTTGGTTTGTGTGGAGTACCGTTTTGAAGCCTCGAGTTCGGCCCATGGATGTAAAATGAGAACTGGAGCCTCTGAAAAGGCAAGTCAAATAAACCGCTTCCTGTTGTACAGAAAGTACCCGGATGAGCTCATGCGCCCCTGACCTAAACTTTTTTTATTTATAAGCAATGTTTTTCTCCACATAAATATCTCATATGGAATAACTGTGACATACTATTTAAAAGCAAATTTAAACATAACAATTTAACAATAGTTATTTAATTCAGCAAGTCTTCTATCTATTTCTAATATCCCTGTCACCCCAACAGAATTTGTTAATAATGTAATGGATGCAATTCCCAAATTTGTGTTGATGTTCACAAAAATACATTTTATAACAGAAAACTTTAAAAACAAAATTTTAGTAAAATGCAAAAGTACATATAAACTATTTCAGCACTCTACAAACCCCAAGGCCTTCGTACCTATAATCTGTACTAACAGTAGGTAGTTCTTCAATAAATGTACTTACTTTACTGCATTTTCCGACCGTTTTAGTGAAGTAAAACCACAAATACAGAACTTCCAGACAAATAAGTTGCTCCACACGGTGGACACAGTCAGTGGATGAGATTTTTGGCTTGTTATGTTGGAAAAATATGAAGTATGCTGAAAGTTATCAGGGCAGTGTAATCATTCCAAATGTAAACTTATACGCTACCCTCATCTTGTCTTAGCAGCCATCTCATGTAATCCAAGTCATGTCATGGGATCAGGAATCAGGAAAAATCCACAACACAAATCAAAACAGGCCTGGAGGAAGAACAGATTCCTCCTACTGTTTCTGATTTATGCATTTAAACATTTTAAACCAGGACAGTGGTCTCTCTGGGAGCATCATGGGTCGGAGATACGGGCCTGTAACCTGTAACTCTGCCCTATGGAGGCTAGAGGAGCTTCAGCCTGAGGGTGCAGGGTGCTGTCTGCTCTCTTTCTCCCATGAGGCCAAAGACACAGAGCTCCTGAGGTCAAAGGTGGAGACACGGGAGCCAGTAACCACTCGAAACTACAAGCACTGGAGTGGGAAAGTTGTATAGAATAACTCTGGGGAATACATGATGGTACAGTAGTATACAGCGAGAATGGACTATCATATGTTAGAACACGAGCTGACCTCTGACCTCCCTGTGGACAAGAGCAAGTATTGGGATCAATAAAGTACCACATCAGTTCAAGCGGAGTTTGTTTAACATCTTTATTTACGCTCTCAGTCACTCACTCTCTCATTCTCGTGAAACAAATCACAATATAACAACAGATCCGAACTGATAGTTTTCTATACAGGTGACTTAAATTATTGAACAGAAAGTGTACAGCTATCACTACCAAATTTAAGGCAGAATTCCACACAAAAGTGGTCAAAATATTTGATATTGATATAATTTTGACCTATTATTAGTTTCTCTAATCAACTAAGAACCATCAATTAGACAATGGGAAAAGAACATCTACAACAAAAACCTGCCTTCAACACTGAATTCATGTTAGTAATATATTAGTAACATTTTACATGAATAAAATATACTATGTATTATACATTGTTAAGACTCTTTACCGTTTATTACATGTTGCCCTTCCCAGAAAAAGGGATTTATTGCATCTCTAGAAGTAACCATGGTCCTGCAGCGAGGCAAGTCGTCATGCAGGTGTTTTTTTTTTAAAAACAATTAGCTTCAGATGCTAACACATTGAGGGTCATTTGGATAGGAGATCAAATGTCCATGGATGACACTTACTGACAAGATGACGAAGAGTATGAACATGAAAAACATAAAGCTTTCTGTACAGTCACCCTAAAGTTCAGCATTTGCAAATTTGACGAATGTTTTTAATAAGCCAAGGCCATGTAGCCGGAGATACTGAAAGTTCCCGAACTATGCCGCCATGCTAGCTTGAAAATGAAAATTTCCAATAAGCTGCCCCAAAAGTATACTGCCGTCAAAGGAATAGTGTATTCTGGGAAATGTGCTTATTTACTTTCTTGCCAGGAGTTAGGGTTAGATTTCCGTGCGCTAAATACGAAGCTATCGCTAGCTGTTCTTACAATTCTGTCTTATACAAACTAGATAAAAAGTGTTAATTAGTGAGCGTTTGGCAGGTTTAGTTACTTTGGAAACAGCCAGGCTAGCCGTTTCACCATTTTTAGTCTTTGTGCTAAGCTAAGCTAGCTGGCTGCTGGCTCTAGCTTACAGGCATGAGAGTGGTATCGATCTTCTTGTCTAACTCTCAGCAAAAAAAGGCATAACTGTATTTCCCAGAATGTCAAACTACTCCTTTAACTCGTTTGGGGAAATGCTTCACTGGAAGAGAGACATTAATTTGTAAAATTGCAATGGAGAAGACTCTGGAGTGATATGAGCTGTCACTGTCACAAAACATTTAGATATACAGAATATAGAAAATGTATAATTAATACTTTCAAAAAATTACTAGATTCGCTATAGAGCCAACTCTTTAAGATACCAGTGAAATAGATTACTATTGGCAAATATCTACTCTTTAGGTTTTCTATTGTGTGGTGCATCAAGTTAATAGCGGCATTAAATACTGCACACAAATCCACATGCTTGCAGTTTGATGTGGCAGGTTTTTAAAAGGACAACTCGCAATTGTTGTTATTGGAAAAATATAAAAACATACAAAATACAAATAAAGAATATTTAAAAATGTTTAAAATTTTTACTTAATTGGCCCATTGACACAGCAGTTACTGTAGGTGTCATATAATTCTGGCTTCCTTCTGCTGCTGGTATCACCAAAACATAGATATACATAGAAAAAGAACACAAATGTGTCTCGGTTCCTCGTGTTAATACTGTTTCTAACAAATTATTCTTCGTTTTACACAACTTGCACACAGACTTACATGACAAAAACACAGTGTAGCACAGTACAAAGGTGGTTGAGTGTGGCACGGTATTGTTTTTTGTGTGTTTTGTTTTTTTTGATTTTTTGATCTACTGATTGACAGCACAGTGGCACCACCAGTATGTGTCATCACAAACTTGTCTCCCTGTCCAAGCTCTTCTCATGCCTCCGGCGTTTGTGTCGCTTTTCGCTGCCACTGGAACAACTGCACGGGAGGGAAAAAAACAATTAGACCAAGCAAAATGTTAAAAGAGAAAATGCATTGAGGTTCATTTTTCTGTAGAGGGAAGTGCAGAGTGCAGATGCAATTAATCAATCAATCCAGCATGCAAATATGTCTCATAAAGCTTAACGGCATTATGCCCGAACGCTTTAATATCTTGTGACATTGAAATATATAAATGTTCTACTACTGATTAACATATATAGTGCTATTAGTTTACAACTTTTACAACATGCGCAGGACATCATAAAATGTGTCCTTGAAGTAACATGCACACACAGGCCATGCTGTGTTGTCAATCCAGCAACACCCGTTAATTACTGCATTACGTCTCGATTTATTGGTCACCGAATCATTGCCCGCAGCACAGACCGACACCGTTCTCATCATGCAACAATCAACAGTCATCAGCAGAAAACACGAGACAAGACTCTCCATGCTGACAGGGACTGGGAACAACTTACCTTTGGGATATCAGCTTCTGAGAGGTTAGGAAGGGGAGCTTAGGGGTGGGATGGAATGAGAGAGGCAGGCAGGACACTATGTTAGTCTACTCCGTGGGAAATCTGCAAGGGCAGGGCTGCTCTTGGATAAACCTCTTTTATCTAAACACACTAGCTCCTCAGTTTCCTGGAAAAATATAAAGTAAATGTTCCATAACTTCTCAATAATAAACACTTGCCACTGTTTGCTTTAACACCCAGACACACCATTTTCCCCTTGGAATAAACAATCTTTTGACCCCGCAAAAACACCCCTGCAATATTTAACATTCAAGCCCTCACATGTATTAGAAGTACTGATCTGGATATCTGAGAGTAATGTGGATTGGTAGGCTAACCTTTTAGCGCTTGGTTCCTTCTTAGTGGTCTCAGTAGGGTTGACACTCTTCCACACATTCCCGAAAGATCCTTTGGACATTTCATCAGTGATGTTCACTGTGGCTGGGTCACTCCTTCAGAAACACACAGAGAAGGCCAAAATAAATATGATTTAACTTGCCATGTAAAGATATCTCCTCAGATAAAAGCACACTTAAAGATAAAAGGGAGGATTCCTGCCAGACTGATAACTACAGGAGCTAGGAGCACCAGTTCAACATTTACAGAGAGATGTTTATTTGCTTTCTTGCCCAGAGTTATATAAGAAGATTGATACCACAATGTATGATAAATATGAAGTTACAGCCAGGAGAATGTTAGCTTAGCTTAGCATAAAGACTGGAAACAGGGGGGAACAGCTAGCCCTCTGAAAGGTAACAAAATCCACCTATCAGGAGCAACTTTAACTTATGTGCTGGACTGTTTCTTGACTATTTCGTTAACTGTGTCCTAATGCAGGACTTCTGTTTTTTTACACTATGGTCTTCCTACTTTAATTAAGTAAAGGACACAAATATTTCTTGAATACCACCACTTACACAATTCATTTTGTAGAAAGCTTGGGCACCTAACATGCAGAATGACTTACTTTAAGTTTTCCTCCATTGGCACTTGTACAATGCCTTCTTCCTCTGCAATAATACTGTGCTCCTCCTGGAGAAAGACACAAAAGAGAAAATCTAAAACACTGCATGGATAGCAGCTCTGCCGCTGCAGTGGTGGAACTATAGAGTCATCAGAGTGGGTATTCGCTCAGTCTATTACTGCACCTCTTGTTCAGCATCTTCCAGTTTCTTCTTCTTCCACTCCGGCATCAGGTCATCCAGCCAGCTCAGCTCTCTCTTGGTGAACATGAAGTCCAGCAGCTTACGAATGAACACCAGGGCCAAGACCTGATGCAGCACAAACAGGCGAACATCAACCAATCATATGCATTAAGCACACAAGTATATAATTCATACACAAACACACTCCAGTTACCATCATGGGGAAGACGATGGCAGCCTTGGAGGTCTTGATGACCCAGAGCAGGATCAAGCAGCTCAGCTGGACGATGGTGAAGAGGTGCACCTTCCTCAGTGGGACGTGACGAAGGTAGATGAAGTCTGGCTGATGTTTGGCCGGCATGCTGAACAGCCTGAGACGGTCGAAGAACTGCACAGACACAAACAGACGATCCATTTGAGAGCTCATCGTGCATTATTTCTGGCTGAGTTAGCAGGAATCAAATACCAGCAGGCAGAATCTGAGCTCACCTGAATGCCTCTGAGTGAGGAAGCTCCCATGTACAGAAAGACTCCGTACAGCACAGGCATGGGGATAAACTGGAGACAGATAGAGATTCAGGATCAGATTTGTGTGTAATTCTATTTTTTACATATATATTCTTGAAAACAAAAATAACCTAAAAAGACAATAAAAAAAGTCCAAAGATGACCTAAAGGAGGAAAGAAAGACTTGTTGAGTTGCCAGTTTATTAGGGTCCACCAAGCTAAAACTAACGCAAGTCCTGTATATTATGGCATTCATCCCCTGACCTTCAGCACAGAGGTCATGAAGACGGAGCAGCCCATCAGGGTGAAGATCATAAGGCCGGTGAAGCGCTGCTCTCGGATGCCCAGGAACTTGGGCTGCTCTCCAGGGGCCGAGCACTCAGACTCCAGCTTCAGGCTGTTCACGTGGGAGATGGAGAGCACGGTGGCTGCCACGAACCACGGCAGGCCCATCACCGAGCATACGCCCAGCATCACCCCCACCACAAACAGGTCCAGGTGGTAGCCACAGCCTTTCTGAAGATTAAGAAGAAGAGGGAAAAGGTCACATTCATTGTGGACATTATTTAATTTGTTGTAGGCAATAAATACAAATATAACCAATTCTCTGAGATATGTTCATTTGGTTATTTTTGTGAGCTGGATTCTTAATTTTTGACGTTTTGAAATACCTTCAGTTTGTGCTCCTTCCTGTTAATAATGACGGCTGTGATCTGTTGGTCCATGAAGATGAGGATGGTGCAGAGCAGAGCAGGGAGGAAGGTGATGATGGTGGTCCACCAGGGGTTGGGTCCCACAGGGTTTATAAGCCAGCCACGATCATCCCTGGTTGGCTGCGTGGAGCGAAAAGTAAATTAACTCTTATTGCTTTATTTCTTTTTTAATTTCAAGATCTTAAGTAAAAGATATGTATATATATATATAAAAAACAGGTGCATACAGCAGCTTTTTATAGTGGAGGCTTTCATGTGGACTTACTTTGAACTTGCTAGGGACCTGTAATTTAGGTGAGGGGATCCCCAAGGCATAATCTACAAAGACCATAGTGAGGATAGTGATGAAGACGGCAAAGTCACTGATGATGCCCCGCACCTGGAGGGAACAAAGAGACGCACTTATCAGACACAAGTCCACTTCTAAAGCTGCTGGATCACAAAACATATTGAAAGCAAAAGTCAGACACAAGATGTGCTCTCTGTACTGATGAATCCCAGCTTAAATCTTTTACAGATTTAATGTGAATATTCATCCCCAGTTTTCTTTTGTTTGTGTTTATTCCCTTCTCATGGGTATTAATACAAATGTCAGTTCATTGCTACTTTGTATTTGCCTTTCTCATTTAAACCTTTTTGAGTATGTATTGCATTTGCTTTTTCCTTCCTAGTCATCCAGCTCTGCTCTGATTGGTCCAGTCTGAGAGCAGACTGACTGAATCAAGCAGATATGTCGCTCTTTATGCTTAATAATATTGAATGTCTGACAAAGATCTCTTTTACACTGAAATATTGCTCTGTAAATATCTATTGGGAACTGACAACAACAACTTTTCAGTACAATGTGCAGATCTTTTCTTTGACTTCTGATAACAGCAGCCTACAGTGAAGCATCCACAAGGTGGCGCCGGTACACTATAGATTGGCTGTCAGCATCACGCCACATATTACGCTCATGAGTGTCATCTCAATGATAAATCATAGAAAATGCACACATAGAACGGCCACACAGACTGCAGGATTTTTACTGTGTCATTAAACAACCAATAGATGGCAGCACAATCTAAAATGACACAGACAGAGGCAGAGTTAGGGCATGGAAAACAATTTCAGTGTAATTTCAGTCCCTTGGCTAAATGAGAAGTAAATGGATGACTGTAAAATTAATGAAGCAGATTTAATTTTGCAGCTTCAATACACTTGAAGACAGTGTCAGCCAGAACTCTGAAGGTGTGTGTGCTTTAAAATGTGCTCCCAAATTGATACAGTGAAGTGTTTGTGCGTTATTCGGGGATGACTATAGCGTGATACGTGCCTTGGTGGGGAAGTAGCGGCTCGTCTTGAACTCCTTGAGGAAGGCGGACATGAAGACGGTGGAGAAGAAGAGGACCACGCACCAGAAGAGGACGTCAGGGATGTAGGGGCCGTGGGGGCCACAGGCGCTGCCCTCAAACTCCCCGTGAAACATCTCGCACTCCTACTGGCACCAGAGGACACGGTGATGATGATGATGATGATGATGATGATGGTGGTGATATTATTCAGGATGATGAAGGGGATAATGAGGCCAATAAAAATGATTAGAGTGGCAGTGGAGATAATGGATGATGGATGTCGGTGGTGAATTAGTGAAGTCTCAATATCAACAATCTGGTACATTCACTATTGATTTCTTCAGTAATCTATAGTTTAAATATCTATACAGTGCTTCATTCATCCATATGCATACAATCTAAATGGCCTACATCGACTCTGCCCCCCAAAACTAGTTGCTCCTATACGTATTACAAGCATGTGTGGGAGTGACGCAGCACGCCGCATGACTGATCTGTGTCTGCCAGTGAGAGAATCCACTCTTCACGCTGCATCTCCGTGCTCATTCTGCACGGCTAAATCCTGTGAAATCCTACCCACACGTTCTTAATCCCCGCCTAGACTTATGACGCTTCTTGATAAAGCAAAGTGTGGGCTAAGTGAGACACAACACGGCGCCAGAGACTGTGAGAAATACCCCCAACTTTCAACTTTTGTTTGTGGGTTAAGTTTGTAGGCTGGCAACTGTGATTAGATGTGCTATTTCTGTCTGTGTTAGCCTCCTCTCTCCTCCACTCGGGACAGATCACACTTTGACTGCTATTTCTTAACTGCTTACAGATCCAGATCTTCTTTATCCATCATTAGAAGTCTACTTGAACCCAAGAGAGTCAACTTCATCTAAGAATGTCTAGGCCACTGATAACCCGTATTTTAACCCACTATTTGTTCTATAATTTACTCCAAATGTCAAGGGTTCCTTACGTTGACCTCCAGCATGGTCCAGTTGACCTGGGAAGCTGTGATGTTTCTCTCCTCCCAGTACTGCAGAGTCTCATTGCTGGGGTCCCGGGGCTCCACACATGCACACCTACAGAGAATATTTTTATTTAGTTATCTTAAATAATGACAACAGAACAAGGTTAATATACTAATCAAAAATAAAAGTACACTAATAAATAAAGACAACAACAGAAAGTCAAGCAAACAAATTTTGCACTAGCAATTTCAGTTCTGTAAAATTTCAAATGATATACTGTATATAGATACACTGTATAGATAACAAACAAACAGAGAAATAACACGCAGCACATGCATAAATACTGACATGCAATCTTTAGTTAATCTGTTATCTGTTGTTTTTTTAAGTCTTTTTTTTAAGCTAAAATGCCAAGAATTCACTGTTTCAGCTTCTCAAATGTGAATATCTGCTGGGTTTCTTAATTTTCTAGGATATTAAAGTGGATATCGTTGGATTTTGGACCGTTGGAGAGACAAAACAAGCAAGTTCAATATGTGTTAGCTACTTTTTAATTAGTTTTTCCAATTTCCCTGACATTTTACAGACCAAACAATGACAAATGAAAATAACGGTCAGATCAATCAATAATGAAAACGATCGTGAGTTGCAGCCCTGCAGTGTTCCACTTTTCAATACACACCATTTCTGCAATGTTCAGCCATCAACATAATGACTTTTTCTGCTGGCATTTTACAAGACTAAATGTCAGCATCCCCTGCTGTCCACTACACCAGAATAGAAAACCACAGAAGGAGCTCTTGGCTGGACATAGCCACTAGCCAGCTTACAGTATGTAGCGGGATAATGTATGATGCTCCTGACTCACACTCAACATGGGATTATTCACCATAACACAAAACCCATTACGGGAAAACTGGACAGTGTGTCTACTATACCACTGCACCATCTGCTGCTGATGATGCAGCGAAACACTTGAGCACGTGTGTGCAAATGTGCATAGTTGGATACACTCTACGTGGCAGCATGCAACAACAATGACAACATCAGTACAGAATGATTAAAAGAGTTAAAGTGGACACCAGGAGCCAAGAACTTCTCAATTTGTTTATACTTGACCTGCTTTATTGTCATCTTACAATAATACCTAGTATGAAGAAACTACATCTATATATGTGTGACAGTATAAGTTACCAAGAGGAGCAATTCATTTAAAAGCAGAAAGAAATCCTTAAAACTACAACTATATTGTTTTTTTTCCTAATGCTTAAAGTAACAGTCAATAAATTTTAAATATTTACTGGATGCAATGTTGTTCCACATCTCTCCTCCGATCGCTGATTCATAGATCTAAGACCTATTGTTGCCAACAGTTTATTAACCTGAAGGTAAAATATTAATGTCTTTATCAAGTTGTTTTCTTGTAGCTCAACCAACTTCCAGCTCCCTTGCGACTGGTTATTGATCCATAAAGTCTCATGACAAACAACAAAAAAATAACAATTCATTTATAGTAGGGCTTCAACTAATGCTTGTTTTAAATATTGAGTTTACCGGAGTACTCATTTAGTCTATAACAGGGTTTTTTACAGTCTCACACACTCTCTCAGACTTACTTAGTTAGCTGTGGGCTAATGCTTGAGATAGATATTTTTGCCCTATATATTTGTTTACATTTGCACCATTAAAAGTATACCGAATTAGCCATTAGCTGTTCCTGTTTGCAATGTACCCAAGGATGAACAGACAACTGTCACTCGGTTACTTTCACACTGAAGAAACCCTAAAAATATGGCAATAAGAGCTCCTTTTTTTGTATTATTTCTGAGTGGATTTATGTACGTTCATTCAAGACTGACATTGATGATAATGATATCCTCCGGAAGTGGAAGTCACGCTGAATCTTAAAATATGTGTATCATGTCAGTATGATCAGATTGAGTGATTCAGATGAGTTATGACTCCAAATATGCTAATTCCAGCTCACGCCTCATGTCTTTCCCTCTGTGCCCGCCTTTTACTCTCCCTCAGTTTGAAAACCTTTATAAAATGTCAGAAAATAGTGACAAATGTCTAAATATGTCTTTAAATTACATGTTTAACTTGCTTTTATCCAACAGTGCAAAACAAAAAAACAGGGGTATAAAGGAGCACTTACGAGTACTGTGTGAGTTTCTGAAGGTTGTTGTTTTTATTGATGGGGTAGTGCACCCCCAGGTGGATCAGCTTCTCCAGGGCCTCATAGATGAAGATGATGCAAATCAGCGCAGCAAAAGCTTCCTCAGTGAAGCGTGTAATGTAACAGACGAGCGAGCTGGCATCAGTGGCCACCAGCAGCAGGCAGAAGAAGGCCGTCCACAGGCCAATACAGGCCCTCAGGGAGAGGTAGGAGAGGCCATACTCCCTGAGAGAGACAGAACACACACACACACACACACACACACACACACATACACAGGAGTGAAGGGATAAGCAATTACATACACACAAATCCCCCATCAACACAGAAATACTCAACTATAACAAAAAACAAGAAAATAACCCACTTGCAGAACTTGAAGAGGATTTTCTCAAAGACAAGAACAGGCCCCGTGCTGCCCAGGATGGTGAGGGGCTGACCGGCAAAAAGAGAGTAGGCTATCCCAGTCATGGAGGCCCCAAACAGGGACTCAATAGCACTCTGGAAACACAGGAAATAATGCTCAGATTCAACTGCTGAACTCCATTACAGCCATGCTATCAGCTCTGTGAGGCTGTGCTTGAACACAGCAGTGCTTTGAACTAAATGCTAAGGCTAGCATGGGAACAAGCTCACAATGACAATGCTAACATGCTGATATTTAGGTATAGAGCCAAAATGAAACTGGAAATTCCAGATTTAGTGCCATTATTGGAAATATATATATAGAAAACATAATCTTACTCAATGGTATGTTGTGTGGTTCACTTCATTTGTCTAGATATCACTCAAAACAAACAACAAACAAACCGAATGGTGATGGTGATCAGGTCAGACAGGGCCCTGACTGTCTGTACATAATCTCACAGCAGTCCATTTAATAGATATTTCAGCCTGGACCAAAGAGGTGGACTGATCAACCAACATTGACATTGCTATCCCTTGAGCCACACCGCCAGCATGGATAAAAATACAGCATAGGCCTATTGAACTATAACAGCTGTCAATGAAAGTGAATGGAAAGTAGAGCAACATTAGAAATTCACGGGAGAGTGAACATTTCCTTTACTCAGCTACTAGTTTCAAGGTGCCTTTGAGTAAGATGTGCAAGTCATTTTAAAGCTGCTGTTTTCAGTAAAAAAGCTCTGAAAACCAACAGTTTTCACATTTAGTGACTAGCTGGTGAACATAGTGGAGCATTTAGCAGCTAAAGAGACAGATATTTCACTCAGGACCAAAAACATATTATATTATTATATATATATAATATTGGTCAAAATGACTCCAGATGAATGCTAATGTTGCTCTGTAACTGGATTGTTAACAAGTTCACCATATCAGCTTAAAAGGTGATTATATGTCATTGCTGTCTTCACAACTTGTTTCCAATTATTGCAGGTTAAGACAAAGCTTTTAGGTGTGAGCAAAGAGTCTCTTTGGAGCAATAAAGATGTTGCTTCTTACCACGCGTCCCTCTGTTGCCTCGCCCAGGAGTCCTCCGAAGGTGATGACAGGTGACATGCAGGCGCAGTAGAGGAAGAGGACGGACGCCAAACACTGCAGGCTGAAGGCGTCTCTGATGTCACTCCACAGGAAGGGAGCTTTCCTCCGAATGTCGTTCACCAAACCGCCAAAGATCCTGATGGAGAGAACGGATTACTGTCGCAGTGAAGAATGACTGACATGCAGTAGGGCCTAAGGATTATTTTCATTATTTAATAATCAGTTGTTAATTTTTATATGTAATTCACAGGCATTAAAGGGTTTGTGTCTCTACTCCCCGTCTCTCTAAAAACAGGACATTCAAATTAAAAAGTGATTGAGATCATTAATAGAAATACAGAAGATTATTAATGTAATGAACACCATACAGGACACCATTATGGGACATTATCAGGAACTGTGCAACGTTGAAGCCTGTTAAAAGACAAAATAAATATCTTGAAGAATTCAGCGATACATCCTCTTAAATCATATTCTAGCTGCTTTCTGTGATATAAACGTAACTGATTGAGTTATATTGATCACAGGCTCCTGAATAAAACTGAAACCGTATCTTATCACCAAATATCAATACAACACTGATCATGATGAAACTGCTGATTAATGAGAAATGGAGGATATTAATGTTAATATAATAAGATGTGACACATTTCCCCCAGAGCTCAACGTGTGAAACAGATCGATGAGATTCACAAAGATATAAAACAGGAGCAAATCCTCACACTGGAGAACTTCAACCACAGGGTGACTTTTTATTGATTATCAACCCTTTAATGTAATCTCACAGTCCTGTAAAGTGAAACCGGGCTCAGACTGACCTCCCTGTCCTCTGCAGCTCTGGTCCTGTCTGATGCTCCGCCTCCTTGGCGAAGTCAGCGCTGTGGGCGGAGCCATTAGGGACGGACGGCATCTTCCTCTTCTCCTGCAGAGAGACAGAGGACGAGGACACAGGGCTGAACCACTGACAGTATATAACAGTGAAATTACTTAAACCTGCAGTCTCTCTCACAGCCAGCAGGGGGCAGCTCCACTCTGATAGTATTGAGTCTTATGGAGAAGTTAGTAACTGATGGTCCCATTTAGGGTAAAATAGACAGAAAGCAGGGTATGCTTTAGGGCGGGGCTACCTTGTGATTGATAGCTCAACGCTCCAAAAAATACACTAAAAACATGGAA